AAGAAATCTCCGCCGCGTGAATACACCACTGGGCACGCGAGGCAAGTACAAAACATTTGATTAATCAGACATTGCGGTGTATGGGCAGAAATTCCGAGGCCATTGCCTCGATAAACAACACGTGTCGTTTTGGTCTGCGTAAGAGGAAAAACCGGTTCTTTGTTTAAAAAGATGACAGAACGGCAGCAGGACGGCCAGAAAGTTAATCAAGATGTAGATCGATATGGATGACAATACAGCGACTGGCGGTTCGGTCCATTCTGGTTCGAGGTAGCAACCGGAAGTGACGCCGCTGGTGGGGCAGAGACGCTTGGTTGTTTCGGATGGAATCGGGATGAGTCGTTTTGCATTGAAGTAACCAATTTGATAGTTTTAGAGAAATAGTGAAAGAGCAAAAGAATTGCCGTCGGTTCCAGCTAGAAGTTTGCGATCTCAAGACGAGCTTACAAAGACCTGATATTTTCGCGAGTGCGGTGCAAGGAAGATAAAACTGAGATTGTTGCTTGGCCATATCAATATTCATGTTCCCTTCAGGTCTATACTTCGTTTCAGCTTTGGTCCGAGCGCGGCCGATGTTACGAGCCGAAGGGCCAATCAAACAGCGAAAGAGGCACAACGTCACGGCGTACTCTCTGCAGTTGATAGGACCAGCCGGTATTCGCCGTCTCTTTGTGCGTGCTCCTGTGCCGGCTAGTCCTATCAAGCGCGAGAGCACGCCATGACGCTGCACTTTTTGCGGTGATTGATTGGCCCTTCGGCTCATAACATCGGCCGCGCTCGGACCGAAGCTAAAACGAAGTATATTCGTTATTTTATCTAATTTTATCCTCATGCAAACAAATCATTTCATACCCTTAACCCTTTGACGGCTGTCGCCGTATGTAAAACTGGTTACGCATTTGAAAGTATTCGCCTAAATGCGAAACCTTGCACACTGCGTGCGGAGTTGCTATCTGTAATGTATTTGGTGAACTATAAACTTTATGTTTACGTGGTGTTTGAGTTTGCCGGTGTTATAGTTTTCAAATTAGCCGCTCCGCGCACGTAATACGGACGAGATTGTCGCTTCGCCTGTCGGATGCTCTTGCGATCCAGATTTAACGCTTCTCAAACTTGAATTTAGATGATGAGAGCTTACCATCCGAAGAAGGGGATCTGTAAAGTGCCTCCGGTACGGAATCTGAAACCGCCGTCGCGGAAGTAGACGTATCAAAATTGAACCGATAGAAGAAAGGTGAAAACTGTTCGCTTTTAATATTTCCATTTGAGGCTTCTGAACCTGAACAGCTTGTAAGCACTGTAAGTGCATGCTTCAGCCAAATACTTAAGAAAACAAATTGTGCACTGACCCTTTCTTTGTATTTTGACGTCATGATGGCGCTTAAGACGAGGACAAAAAGGAGACAGACAACACGCAGCGCTTGTTGTCTGTCTCCCTTTTGTCCTCGTCTTAAGCGCCATCATGACGTCAAATTCCCAGTACCAACAAGCTCAACAATCTGCATTGATCCTTTATACTATTCTTTTGGAAACAGAACCGTACCACTAAGGAGCTCCAGACTCGGAGCGAAAATAAAAGTTTTCTCTCTCTCTCTCTACCACCAAGAAACAACTTTTGGAAAAGAAAGAAGTAAACAAAAACTTGACCGTCAAGGGTTCAGAGGGTAAATCAGCGTATCCCAAAACTAAGGGTATTATATGCAACAGCACCCTATATCGCAATGAAAAATTATGTATTATTCAAAGTAAGGGTGATGAAAGGATGCAGCCATGGGTGTAAGTAAGCCCCTGGAGCGCTTTTTCCACCCCCAAGGTTGTAAAATATTTTTGCTTCGACGGGCTGCCTTCAAGAACAGTGCACGTTGTGATTCAGATTTTTTTTCTTGAGTTTAGTGTACTTAAGGCAGCCTTGCAGTCCTAAAGTCTGCGTTGTTTTATCATATCTTCGTTGAAATTGCGCATTTTCATGGACTTAACTTTAAATATTGATTTCATTCGACTCGTAAAATTGCAATGCACCATACATAGGGTGCTTGCGGGCACCGTGAGGAAAAAAGTCCCTACAAAAAAGCATAATTTTCAACAACAGAGATATAATCATCTATATTACCTAATCTATTGCGACGTTACAATGTCTATCGTTAGTGATGTCGCGATGACGTGATTTCTATTGAGTATTTCCCTTAAAGTTTAACGGGAAAATTGACGTCACGATTTATGGTCGCGGTCACGTCACGTGATACCATGACGCGACGGGACGTCAATTTCCTTCTTTAAATTTAGCTGGAAAATTTACGAAACGTGACCTATGGGCACATGATGGCGCGATCAGGACGAACACACGCAAGGAAGTTGCGTGCAGTGTTTTCACACAAAAGCTATCAATTTAAAACAAAAACTTAACATTAACAATTTACGATTAACGATTAAAATGAATAATTTATTCACGGACGCAGTTCGACAAGAACCAACGCTCACTGACTAAGATCACTAGCAAGCCAGAGGCTCCCAATTAAACCACCAGGCAAGGTTTCTTTATGAAAACAAGCGTAGAAATTTCTCGAATAAAGTTGCACTGAGCCGTCCTTGTCGCTGTTGCAACTAAGCGATAAACGAGTAGGGCTACGCCTTGGCCCAAGAGCGACGGAAAGTTCGTTTGGACGCAGAATCTGTCTCTCGCCGTCCTAATCTACATTAAACATGAGGAGCAAACAGACGGAGTGTACTCATTATCAATTGATTGCCACGTATGTTGTTTCCTTTCATTTTGAAATGGTACCGAGTATTTGACTAGAGTCTGTTGAAACTCAATAGGTAGGGCGAGGGAAGGGTAGGCTTGGAAGGAGGAGGCAGACGGAACGTTGCAGAAGAGAGAAGGAAACCTCTTCCTCTCTTTGACGTTTCGTCTGCTTCCTCCTCCCCGGCCTTCCTTTACCTCGCTCAAACTTCTTGAGTTGAAACGGACTATAGGCATGTTTCTTTTTTCCACATAACTAGGGTAAAAAGAACAAGAGTGAGAGAAATTTTGAACACACAGAGAACGTAGATACATACTCTAGCTACCTTTTCACTTCCTCACCTCAAAACTCTAAAAGGTTATTATGACATGGCAAAGTCTTTTGGAGTGCCCTCCCAAAGATGTTTGCCGCCTGTTTTCTCAGTCATTCCCTCGTGCGTCAACGAGACTGTCACTCGTCACAGACGAGTAATGTGTACGGGGAGAGCTTCATGGAGCTTCGGGAACGACAGACAGACGTCCTCGGTTATAGGAGTCAAGGAAGAACGTCCGTGGTGACTGACGGCCTGGTCAAACTTGTGATGGGATGACCCAGGCGACAAACTTATTTGGAGAGACAATTCAAAAGCTTGTGCCACGTTATAATGAGTGCCTAAATATCTAAGGTGATTATGTGAAGATTTAGCTAGAAAATGCACCTACATTTTGGGAACAGAATGCACCCCCCCCCCCCCCCAACAATTTTTTTTTTTCATTTTTTCTTAAAACCGCGAAATTGAATTACTTAACGCTGAACGCTGATTCCTTGCCCAAATGTGGCGCTAGCAATTCGAACCCGATGTTAAAGAATCAAAGCTAACCGTTCTCTTTTTAAATGTTATAATTGATGTTCTAAAGCTTTTTGAGGGAAAAGGGCGGCCAATTTAGCGGTCGAATACATGGAGCTGAATGGCGCCAGTTACAAAAAACGGGCCCCATTTCCCCGGTTAAACTTTTAAAGAATCCCTTATTTTAACTTTTGACCGAGATAACGGTTACTTCTGAAATTTCGACATCTGGTTTGAACCGCTAGCCCTACATTTGGGCGGAGAATGAGCTTTTGGCGAAGTGTAGTTTATTTTGGGAAAGTGAAAAAAGCAATTTACATTTCTGGGGGACACGCTGTATATTAGATTTTTCATCACTCTTGTTGTTTTCCCGTATCATCGTAAGGGCTGAGAACTCAGGTCGCGACCTTGTTTTGGGGGGGCATCTAAACGCTTGTGCATAAAAATTACTTTATTTTGTGCGATGATTATGTAAAGAAATGGCTAGAGTACGTATCTGCATTTTGTCTATGCTAAACAAATGTTTAGTGCTCTTGACATTTTAACGCAGTTTATTGGAAGTTGAAAAGAAGAAGCCATTGTATACCAAGAATTCTATGTTAAGCGCCGCGCAAAAATATTATTTCGCTACTTAATCGAAACTGCTTACTTGACCATGGTCCCGCTGCTGGCAGCTTAAGAAAGCGCGAACGCCCTTTTTTTGACACAATCCACATTTAAACTGCGTTCTGCGTGCTACTCCATGTTTTACTCCAGCGGCGGTGCAACCGGGGCGCGTTTACGAGTTGCTCTAGTGTGTATATATTTCCTTTCCTCACAACGTAATATGGAACTCGCATAGAGACCTGCTGTGTAGTTACGCTAAAGGGGAATAAAAATTACGCAACACCAAAGGTTTTTTTGGTTCAATCCTACACCACCGTAAATGATGACACTGTTAATAAGTATACACTGCGCTCCACGCCAGTGTCACTGATGAAAACTCACCAAGAAAGCACAAGGAGAATGAGGACAAGTCTTGAACCAAGCCGAAGTAATCAACGTTTTGAGTCTTGTCTGTAACATGCAGATTCTTCAACGGGTCTTCAAACACCACCCATTAAAAAAAAATACAAATAAATACTTTATCATCAATGTCAAATATTGCCTCCAATTAGTTTCGTGGTGTATACAGTGGCGCTTATGCATTATGTGCCTCTCACGCGCACTGTTTTCCCCCCGAAAGCCAGAAAAAATGCGTCTGCCGAAAGTCGCCATGAGCAACCAAGTGAAGTGAGAGATCGGTGGGCGACCCCGACGTGTCGAGGCCCTATCGGTTCGTCGAAGAACCGGAGGATACGATAGATAAGGCGACCGGTAAGCACTCGGCGACGTCCGCATACGTTCACGTGATACCTCTATTGTTGTCTCCGCGTTCACATATAAGGCTGCCCTCCAACGCGCTGGCTTCAAAGCAGAGCGGCGTGAGTACCAGGAAGACAAGGTGTTGTGGATCGCTCCCGGCACATCGTTAGGCTTAGCGAGTGAACAAGAGGAACGACGCTAGGCAGAGGCCATCGAGAGACATGGGCACCCTTCAGGAGAGCATGGACAACAGTCTGAGCGCCGTGAGGAGAGTGGACGGCCAGCAGGAGATGCCCGGAGAAGAGGAGAGCTTCCTCTTTACATCGGAGTCCGTGGGCGAAGGGCATCCAGGTAAGCAGAGTTTGGGTTTCCGTGGGGTAGCCCAATGGCTAAGGCACGAAAGTTCGCAGAAATAGAAAAGTTGCTTGAAAATGGAATGCACGTAAAGATTCTCATATCGTTGAGGTAGTCAGCAATTTCATAATAAGCGCTCAGAAGCTTCCTGCTGTCAAAGTCGAAACGCAGTCCAGGTCCAGGTAATTTGATGTCGCAGTTTTGTCTATCGTCAGCTTTCTTTGTTTTAAGTTCAGGGGCCCTAAACTCGTGAAGCGCGAAGTTGGGGCCGAAGTTGAGGGAGCGCACCGATTGGACAATCACGACGATGACTTGGCGCTTTTCTCGCCAACATCCAATCGGCGCGCTCCGCGAACTTTCGGCTCCAACTTTGTGTTTCACGAGTTTAGGGCCCCTGGCATAGAAAACGTTTCTTCGTAACCCTATTCGTGTGCTCTCCAGAAATTGCATGTGCTAACATACGCGCTCTGGGGACTTCTTTACACGTCAAACACAAACTTGCTACCGAAGTCGTTGGAGCCACTGATTGGCCTATCACGACAGTGACTTTGCGTTTTTTTCGCCGACGTCCAATCGGCGCGCTCCGCGAAGTTTCGGCTCCAACTTTGTGTTTGACGAGTTTAGGGCACCTGCACTCTAAAAAAAACCCGTGAGTCTGCTTTCCCGCACAACACTCGGAGAGCCAATCACCACAAGTCACGGAGGCAGCTCAGCGAATGACGATGCCGAAACATATGCTTAGACCAAAAAACGCAGTCTGAGTTATGACATTAAGCAATGCAAGCGTGACGTTTTGCATTGCTTAATGTCACAACTCAGACTGCGTTTCTTGGTCTAAACATATGTTCCGGCATTGTCATTCGCTGAGCTGCCTCTGTAAGTCGCGGTGATTGGCTCTCCGAGTGTTGTGTGGGAAAGCAGACTCACGGGCTTTTTTTAGAGTGTGGGGCCCTAAACTCGTCAAACACAAAGTTCGGGCCGAAGTTGAGGGAGCGCACCGATTGGACAATCACGACGATGACTTGGCGTTTTTGTCGCCAACGTCCAATCACCGCGCTCCGCGAACTTTCGGCTCAAACTTTGTGTTCGACGAGTTTAGGGCCCCAGGGGCCCTAAACTCGTGAAACACAAAGTTTGAGCAGAAAGTTGGCGGATCGCGCCGATTGGACGTCGGCGAAAAAAGCGCGAAGTCATCGTCGTGAGAGGCCAATCGGTGCGCTCCGTGAACTTCGGCCCCAACTTTGTGTTTCACGAGTTTAGCGACCCTGGGGTTCTAAACTCGTCAAACAAAAAGTTGGAGCCGAAACTTCGCGGAGCGAGCCGATTGGACGTCGGCGAAAAAAGCGCGAAGTCATCGCTGTGATAGGCCGATCGGTGCGCTCCGTCAGCTTCGGCCCCAACTTTGTGTTTGGCGAGTCCGGAATACAACAGTACCGGTCAGCGTTCCGTTATCGAAAGTTCGTGCTTCAAAGTTCCATCTCTCTTTAGGCCAAATCGGGCTGGTCAATCTTATCAGTTATTTTCTGTGACAGAAATAAAATACATAAATATAGCTATACTTCGTTTTATCTTAATTCAAGACGCAGCCAATGCTACGCTGATGGGACCAATCAAACAGCATCAAAAGCGCCCCATCATGGTGTTCGAATCATGTTTCTGTACGTGTTCTATCATCGCTGAACCAATCATAAAGTAAAAACACCCAGTGACTTGCGTTTTTGGCGCTGCTTGATTTGTTCCGTTAGCTCGTACCGCCGGCTGTGTCTGGGCTTGAAACGAAGTATAGGCAGGCTTTTCCTTTTTCGTTTTTTACTTGAAGCCTCTGCAAACAGCACGGTTCAGTGAAACAAACTTTTCCCTATTTCCATAACAGCCTATGCCTTTTTTTTTTTTGCGTTGTTGTGCGTACACATGAAAAAAAAAATGCTGCACGCTCGACGGGTGTAGTTTACACGGGTGTGGTTCTATCCCTGGCACCAATTTCCGTTTTTTATTATTATTATTATTTTTTTCATTATACGGATTGACTGGGCTACACATTTCGCGCTTACGCAGCTCCTGGGGTTGGCTGACCCTGTTTTCTAAAAGAACATGTTTTATTTAACTTTTTTTTTTTGTTGCATGGGTTGCTTCGGCGAACTATGTATTAATGTTCAGTGATTTTCATAAAATTTCCACCAGGTACTAAATGTCCACCCGTGACCATGTCTACGAAATATCTAATCAAAATGGTAATTTTCTTTCGAGGAAATGAATTTTGATGTTTACGCGTACACCTCCGAATCACTGGGAGGCAGTCACTTGATCGAATGACATTTTAGCGAACGCCCACATTTCGCCGAATGACACTTTAGCAAATAGTCGGACGCCGCGAAGCGGCGTTTTCGGGTGGGCCAAATGGGTTCACATTTTTGTAATGAGTTGCCGCAGACTGTCGCCGCGAAGCCGCGTAAAGCGCAGCGCGGCGGATGGGTTAACGCGCGCCCCCGTTATTCGCTAAAACGTTAATTCGCTCAAACGTCGCTGTTCGCTAAAATGTCATTCGCTCATGTGATATGGACCCCGAATCACTTGCTGCCGCTCTAGTGGCAACAACGAACAGGCACACTCGTGACGTCAAATGGTGTATCTGAGAGCAGACGACGCTCCCTACTGCTCGGCGTTTGCGGTGTAGTGATAAGTGAGCGTCTGTGGTTTTGCGAAATGCCGCTGGTCTAGGCTGCTTGCGGCTAACGATGAGGGGAATTAGTGATTGCCTGTGGCGTGCAATAACACTACGACGAAATGCAGCGGAATGACATCGTATTGGTTTCCGAACGAGAAGTCTCTGCGGCGGAAGTGGGCCCGAGAGGTCCGAGCAGTTCGACGGGAACGCTGGCTCCTAACGTTCACGTCGTGCTAGAAAACCGTTTAAACCTTGCTAACAAATAAAAACCTTGCTGGTCATTCTGCTTCCAAGCGGCATCTGGGTCTACATGTTAGGGATGCCGCGAACTTTTTTCGCATCGAAGTTTCGATGATCGAATCAAGCGGTTCGAAAGGTTCGAAAGATTTCGATTTTTCGAATTGTCTATATCGAAAATTCGACGGAGGTCGAATTTTCGAACTTGTTAAGCTAAGAAGTTCGACGCTTTTCGAACCGTCGAACTTATTACGCTAAAAAATTCGATCTTTTTCGACCTTTCGAACTTATTGCGCTGCAAGGTTCGATGCTTGTCGAACTTTCGAACTTGACTGACCAAAAAATCGATAAATTTCGAACTTTCGAACTTATTTATTAAGAGAAATCGAAAAGTTTCGAACTTTCGAATTCTGAAAAGTCAGAAGTTCGACGAACTTCGAACTTTTAGGGTAAAAGTTCGACGTTCGTCGAACTTCGAAAGACCGGCGGACGGTTTCATTTGATTTCAAGTAGTGGGGTACATTCGTAATTTTTTTTTTCTCGAACTTTTACACGCGGTGCTGCGTTCCTTACGAAAGACTATGTCGTTTATTTCAATGTTCTGGCATGCTTAGGTTTAAAGAAATAAATCCCCGAAGGGGCGAGGAAGGACGACGGGTTTTTGACGATTATCGTTTGTGCCAGATTTGAAGCACGCTGCAGCCGGAGCTATTTATGGTAGATATGTTATACTTTTTTTAAGAACGATCTATGTATAGCCTAGGTAAGTGCCGTCTTAAGATGTGATTATTGTTATTCAACGTGAGTTTCGAAGAAATGTCCAAACATATATCTGCATGCAATTATGACCTAAACTTGATATTTATTTTCGTCTAAGTTGTTTGAGGTATCGCATTTAAATTAACACCACAGACAGTATATATCATTGCCATCTGCAGAATACAAAATAATATATTTATTGTTTTTTCACGTTAAGGAATAAATTAACTCATGGGAGAAGATTTCTAATAGTGTTCAAGTTCAGCACGTCATTAAAAGAAAACTTCTTTTTCTTTTCGCTTCACGTTCCTGGGACGTGTTTCTTTTAGCCTGTACACATTTTGGTAAAAGAAACTTGTTTCGAAGTTCTGAACCTCTGAATATGCGAGAATAGAACACTTCCGACGAATTCTTTATAGTTTTTTTTTCCTCCTGCTTTTTATTCCCGCATTTATTATTATTATTTTTTTTTTTTTTTTTTTTTATTATCGGCACAGGTGTTTAGGTCGAAAAGACAGCTTTGAACTTCCGAACCACTAAGCATGTGACGAGCAGTGCCTTCTGACAACGAGTTTTTAACAATGACCATCTACGCAACCTTTTATGCAGTGAAGAGCGACAGTAGCTATACATATGCATAAAAAATTTCAGATTAAAAAAAGCTCGACCACGCCCTCTTTCCCCGTATTGTTTTCTTTAACAATCCGAAATACCTGCAAGGAGGCTGAAGCGCCCCCCCCCCCCCCCCCCCCCCCCGCTACCCTCTTTCCCCCCGTTTTTCCTCTTCCGACGCCACTTGTATGGTAGAACGCTCCTCGACCTCGAGTTGTGTCGGCATTTGTGCTTCTTGCGAGGCGATTCCTCCGTCCCAGAAAATAAACCTCCAGGACAATTATAAACTTCACCGGATCGGATTACTACCAGCGTGCAAGTAGGGAGCCTTCATGTGCGCTTTGCTACGTGCAAGGGGTGGCGAGCTAGTTTGCCAGGTCGCTTCAAGGTTTTTCTGAACCTCAACCTCCTGCTCGCCCCTGGCCGTTTCGAACAAAATGAGTCTCGTAAAACAGTGTGTTCGTGCAATCACTACTGCGTGATGCAGGTTAAAAATTATGTTCAGTTTCTGGATGGATATAATGTTTCTTGAAACATGGCATTACTCATACCTGTAACGTCAAAAAGTAAAACGTATTAATTTATAATTAAAAGGTAACGCAAACGTGTTGTGCGTTGTTTTTAACTCTAACGGTAACGCATTCCTCTTATTTCGAGGTAACGTAGGCAAGTAGGGCGTTTCTTTTATTTGCAAGTAACGAGTAACGTATATTGTTACATTTCTTTCGGTAACGCTTACATCAGTGCTCCAGTGCAAATACTATGGTACCAGTAGGTGATCCTAGAGTCCATTAGAAGTTGTGGCTCAGCATTGAACTAGTGTAGAAAACAATGGACACGCTATTTGTCTCTTGATTGACGTCATCGCTTATGATAACGATGAAGTCATTGTTATCCCATGGCATACTCTAAAAGACTGACTCAGATAGCGTGGAAATTGTTCTGACAATGTGATTATCACCATACAATCGCAGCATCATCCGATAAGCTCCAGCAGAGAACAACCAAAGAATGGCGAACTTCGTTCCTGAAATATAACTGACCATTTTTTTTTTTTTAATTTTAAAAGCTCGTTTTGGTTAGTCCACAAAGAATACACCAACTAAAGTGGAATGGTCGTGACTCTCAGGTCTTAACTCTTCAAATATAAAAAAAAAAAATTATTTTTATTTTTGTTTTCTTATGTAGTAGAGGGTCATTTTCAAATTATAACCAAGTTTTATAGATATGCCTATTATTTCTCCTTCTTTCTCTCGCTCTGCTCACGGACATTGTCAAGTAAACCAGATTAGCAACTGGAAGTATGAAAACATGAATGAAAACGGGTGAACCTGTTCAACCGGGCGCCGGTGCCACGTAGCCAGGGTTCGAACACCAACAAGCGGAAACAAAAAAAAAATGCTAATGAAAAAAAAAAAAAAAAAAAAGAAGATACCGGTGAAGTTTAATAGAGTAAATACAAAGCTGTTTCTTTTATATCCGCGAACAGTGTTGCTGCTTAGGGTTGCTGCTTAAGGGACCCTTAAGATGCAGATACTTTAGGAACCTCTTCCGCTGCTTCATACAGTAAGAAAGAGCTATGGTTGACATGTTCTGAAGCGTTCAATTATCTTTTTTCATATGATGCAAATATAAAACAATAAAGTAGTTGAGGGATATCTCGCATCCAATTTTAGATGCAAATATAAAATATTACATGGCAAACAGGAGATGCCAAGTCTAAGATTAAGGCTCATCTGTCCTAAATGTCGTTGGAATTGTAACGAAGGCAAATCACACAGTGTGTGGGTGCATAGCGTGTGCATTACCATGTTTTGTGCACGGAAATTTCCAAGCCTTATTAAGCAAAGGTGGCATGTTGTCTGCGTAATCAAATGAGTATACATATACGGACTTAGCATGTTGGCGCATTCGCGGCCGACAGCTAAATAATGAGTCTACATATCGTCTGGTAGGGTGTGATCGTAACATAGAATAAGAGACTTGTAGCTTTCACTCCCTTATGTGAAATGGTTTATAAAGGGGATATAATTTGTCGAAAATTATGAGTGTACCGATCTAAGGTGCGAGAAAAGCATACATTTTTAAAAATCAGGAAAGGTTCCGGTGAGCTAGAAGGAAAGGTTAATCAGTTGAGCTGGTGAACATTCAACATCGCAGAAACCGGGAAGCAAGGAACAAAAACGGGTTTCCGCGATTTTGAAAGGTATTTGTAAATACTTAAAAAAATAAAAGTTCAAGACATAAAGGAGTATATATCGCTCTTTGTAACCAAATGTATACGAGTGCACTTTTACATCAACAAAGCTGCGTAGAAAAACAACTGTTATCGCACTTCTGCCGCCGAATATTAATTCGTTATATTGGCCAAGGCTAGTGCAAATAATGTTTGGCCAAGATCGATGCAAATTGTGAAAATGATGAAGAAAAAAACAAAGGTGCACTTACGTCATAGAAGCCTGCGGTTAAATGAAGACATAATTGTTTTCAACGCAGACAAGATGTGCGACCTCATCAGTGACGCCGTCTTGGATGCCTACCTGGCCAAGGACCCGGAGGCCAAAGTAGCGTGCGGTACGTACACCTTTGACGCGAACGAAAAGTTCCGGAAAAGACGAGTCGCGACCTGTCTCTTAAAACAGGCTAACCCCACATTTTTCATGGTGGCGTTTTTAGAGTCCGTGGCCAAGACGGGCATGATTCTACTGGCCGGGGAGATCACATCTGTCCACACCATCGACTACCAGAGGGTAGTTCGCGATACCATCAAGGAAATCGGCTACGACGACTCCTCCAAAGGTGCGAACAAGATAAGGGCGGATAATGTTCGGTACAAAAAGACGAGCGCATGGAGCGCGAGAGGCGGTAACATATGGATGCCCGCGAGCACAGGCAGGCGGAACAGAGTTGATGTTTCAAAATAATTAAACACAAAAAAGTCGTAATTCTTTTTACACCAATGTTGTGTTTATTTTTCAATTATATGTTGAAGCTACGATGTCTTTCTTTTACTACTGATTTTTTTTTTTTTATTCTTGGCAGGCCGTTGTTTAATGGCCTCGGAGTATGTCTCAAGAAGACTAAAAACATACGGCATGTCGAGCATGCTCTAAATTTAAGCTTTCTTTACAGCATCGTAAAACGCAAAAGAACTTTGATGCGCGATTATCAGTTAAATATAGATCTGGACCGCATTATTGCATAAAGAAATTGAGCGGATGCGAGATAAGCTGCACCTCGAGGGGACGGCTCTGTTTTAATTCGGAAATAATGGTTGGTTAAATAGGCTGTAGGGAAAGATGACGGGTGCATGGTAAAGACAAAAGCTCATAAAATGAAAAAGGAATAATATGAGTCAACGCAGTAAAACACATCAAAGTAACATCCAGATAGTAATATACAGGTATTTTTTGTGGCCCCTCAATTAGGGGAGAGGAGGAGATTTCGAATATCACTCACATAGAGTTAGATCACTTATCTTCGGTTTAAAATTGGTCTTCCCTTCAATAAGATCAAAAAAAAATTTAGCCACATAGCGTGGCGCGCAATTTGCAGTCTATGAAGTTATGTGCTTTCCAAGAACAACTGCGCCTCGGGGTTCTCTAAGAAAAATGCATAAATAAATGGAGCAGTGAGCAAATGAATTACTAAATCAATGAATGCACAAACGTTCGTCTTTACTCGATCGCAGGTTTCGACTACAAAACATGCAACGTGGTCATCACGATTGAACAGCAGGCGCAAGAGATAGCGAGGGGTGTTCACCATAACCGACTGGAAGACGACCTTGGCGCAGGAGATCAGGTGATGACTGCCGCAGAATCCGCCATTCCAAGAGTATGCGGTGCTGATTATACACTTGCGTCACAAACGCGTCAAAGTCCCAGAGAACGAGCCGTATCCAACTGACCGTATCGACGCTGGATGGAAGCCCCCACACTCTAAAAAAAATTCTGTGCGACTACTTTCACGCACAACACTCGGAGAGCCAATCAGCGCAACTTACGGAGGAAGCTCAGCGAATGACGATGGCGAAACATATGTTTAGACCAAAAATCGCAGTCTGAGTTGTGACATTAAGCAATGTAAAACGTCACGCTTGCATAGCTTAATATCACAACTCAGTCAGCGTTTTTGGTCTAAAGAGATGTTTCGGCATCGTCATTCGCTGAGCTGCCTCCGTAAGTTGCGCTGATTGGTTCTCCGAGTGTTATGCGTGAAAGTAGACGCACAGACTTTTTTAGAGTGATGCATCGGCCTCAGAGAAACAAGATTGAGAGACCCTGCTTTTGTTCCCCGTATAAGAAAGAGCGCAGTCGAAGGCCCCAAGACGGTAGACTACACAAAAACGGACGCACCAGAGGACGCACGTACAAAAAGCGCGACGTCGCGGTGAATTCACTGCACCTGATTGAGTTAGCCAGTCAAAGCAGACGCACGACAACAAGACAAGGTGATAAACGCCGTGACGTTGCACTTTTGAGGCAGCCTGATTGGCCCCACCGACTCGAGCGTCGGCTGACCGGAGCCGACGCTACAATCCGCCAATCAAACAGAGCCAAAAGTGCTTCGTCACGGCGCCAGTTTTCTTTGTGGGTTCGCCATCACCAGCTAAACCATAACGCAAAAAAAGAGAGAGAGAGAAAAAAAAACAGCCTCTCAGAGCTTTCCCGCGACGGGAACATTCCCGAAACCCCTCTTCTCCCCATGTGCAAGCGGATCATATCACTTAGCGTGTACATAAAGGACGGTGGCCGCACAGGTTTGGCTGGTTACTTATTTATTCATTATTTTATTTGAGCACACTGCGACCTTAATTGAGGTCCTTGCAGGAGTAGAATCCACAAGTGAAAAACAGATAAGTATAGTGCTAAGAATAAACAAGAACATACACAAAATAATGATTCGCCAGCCACACATCAAACAAAATCAAATTCCACAATTTCTAAAACGAAGTCGTTGTACTGAAGCGTACGCGTAGATTTATAATACCGTTCCACAAATCAACCGTGCGCGAAAACAAGGAATTTTTAAAACAATTAATATGAGACTGAAAGGGTGCAATGTTTAAAGGATGGGATCGCCTAGTGCGCGTGATGTCTCAAATTGAAATGGATTTCATGCACTCAATGCCATTATCTTCATTAACAATTCTATGTAGCATTTTCAACAGACAAACGACAGAGACTCTAGCCCTGTTGACATAATGGATGAAGGTGAAAAGTGTCGATCATATATATTGGAAATAAATCGGACCGCCTTGTCCTGAATAGAATCGATAAGATTAGTGTCATTTTTTAGCTAAACGTTCCGAATTACAGAACCATGCTTCAGAATTGGCCTAAGAAAGGCTCTAAAAGCGGTTCAGTCGACCTCTTTTGCAGAACATTTCAACGTACGTACGTTTAACACATCCTAACTTCCTGGGGGTGCGAGGGCGAATAAAGTCAACGTGCCTGTGCCATTTAAGGTTAGATGAAAAATTTATACCCAAATATTTGAACTCATAAACTTCCCTTAAGACTATCTAATCAATGCCGTAGCTAAAAAAATCAAAGGCGGTTTCGTATTCGTAAACCTCATGAACACAATCTTTTCACAGTTGATTTCCATTTGCCATTGCTTGTTTCAATTAAAGAAGCGCGCGAAGGATTCATTAAGTAACAGTTGATCATCAACCGAATTAATATCATTATAAAGGGTGTGGTCTTGGGCATGAAGGCGAACTTTAGCTGGTATATTTTCTACAATATCATTAATATACAGAGGAAATAACAGAGGTCCTAACCCCGGTCCTGGTGATACACTTGAACTGACCGTAACTTCTGCAGAAACAGCATTACCAAACAAAACAAACTGTGACCGTTTTTTCTTTTTTTTTGTTTCTTTTTATAATCAGTGATCTAGTCGAGTGAAACAGGATTTTTAAGTATAACTTTCAACTTCAAAAGTCGTTTAGAATGCAAAATTTTATTGAATGCCTTCAAAAAATTTATGAATTTCGCCGTCAACCTGTCCCTTTTAATTCAAAGACGAGGCAATATCATGAGTGAATTCCAGGAGTTGCGCGGTGGTTGAAAAATGACGACGAAAACCGTGCTGTTGTGGGCAGATGATTGAGTTGCTTTCGAGACATTCAGAAATATGACTGTAGACTATATGTCCGAGGAGCTTACTAGAAGGTATCAATGAAATTGGTCTGAAACTGATAAGGCTCTGTTTGTTACCATATTTAAAGATGAGAACAACTCTAGCTGATTTCCAAAGTTTAGGTACGAATCCAGAAGAAAGATACTTCTCGAAGATTAAGGTTAAGTATCTCGATGTCCAGAGAAATTAACAATGAAGAAATTAATTAAGAATACCATCAGGACCTTAACCTTCCTTGCAGTTCATTTTTAAAAGCCAATTGTGGACCCCACAAACATTGATCAGGATGTTTTCTAACGATGAACACGAGAACACCGAAAATATTTTGTAATATAAAAGGATAAGTAGGTTCACAACTATTAACTTTAATAAATACAAATTAAAAATATGCAATAGAAAAATTATAAATATATACAGGAGCGGAGGCACATTGATCTTGAACAATAAACTGTGTGAAATATCGTTTTTGGGAAGGATAGATCTCCAAAACTTAGCCGGATTTGACTTCATATATTGAGTCAGCGTTACATTAAAATAAGTATATTCTGCAGCTGTCCTTTTTTTACTAACCTATTCTGTAAGCTTTCAAACCAGGTAACATTCATGGGATTAGTACTCTGCCTCAGTTTCCGATTTCGTTTCAGTCTACAAGTTAATTGCAATACCTCTCTAGTAATCCATGGCTGAGCTGGATTTGACTTTTTGAATTCCGTAACAAATTGTTTTATGCAGTCTTTTACTAATAAACTAATAAACAAAATTTGCTAAGCTGTCAACACTAGAGTCGCGATTTAGAGCTTCGAAATCATCAAAGCCAAAACTAAGCTCATCAAGAATAGACACGTCCTCAACTCTATTAAAGTCTATAACGCTAACAATCTCGGGATTTGTGTGTAAGGCACGAATGTTGAACGTTACAACAACAACTCTGTGGTCTCAAAAGACTTACTACCCTTTCACACTCGTAAGCAAACTCGGTAATGCTTTGACTAACAAAAGAAAGGTGAAGAATTGAATGATCTCTTGTGCAATCACTAACAACTTGATCTAAATCGAATGACACAGCAGTGTCAACAGGGGCATTGCATTTAATTTTATAGCGACTACCAACCATTAGCGTTTCCCAATTAATGTCAGGTGCATTAAAATTTCCAGTCAAGACAAATTTGCTGCTGCCAAGATTATGCTTTAGGATGTAATCGTGAATATCGAAAACAACCTGAGGTGTAGTACGGGAGCTCTCTAAACGGCCCCAGTAGTGAGCGACGGCGTGGCGCAACACCTAGCAACCGAGGTGCAGTGGGGGACTGCGGGACTACATATTTGGGCCGCGGGTAGAGTGACGCGAGGTGGCGTGTATGGGCGGCCCAAGGTGGGTTAATATTCTGTAATGAGCAATCCGCAGACTGTCGCCGCAAAGCTGCGTGAACGGGGGGTTACACCAGTGATACACCCGCTGTGCTTCCCTGCTCGGCGCCGAAATTGGCGAAGGTTGTACGTCGCCGGCGATGTTCGGTTGCTAGGTGTTACGCCACGGCGTCGCTCCCCTACAACCAGCCAATCCAGTGCGTCATCCATTGCTATGCGTCCTAGTGCCAAGCGTCTCGTAATACACGCACCCTGCCGCCATATGTCGGCGCTTGAAGAAGGTGTTTCCTAGACAGTTTTCACAGCCAGTGGAGCTGCGGCGCCATCCCGTGGCGACGTTGCGAACATTACATACGTGTTCTCCAAGCCAGTCCAAAGTCAGAGCGTATACCAGGGCACTAATGATAAGGCCTAAAAAAACAGAGCATGACCACGGAGACATAACTGAATGCACCTTTTACACAGGACGGCGCCATTTTGAATTTCGGCACTTACAGTCTGGGCGCAAACATTGTTTTGCCGTCGCCACGTCAATAGACTAGATTTAGTAACCCATCTACCCATTCTCGTTTTGCCTCCTTACTTTTTGCAGGTTTAAATGTATTATTTTTTTCATTGCCCGTACCAGATGTGCCTGCCAGGTGGCTGGGGACGAGAGCAAACGAAAAAGGTCTATACGTGATTGGTTCGGTGATGATAACAAACATAAAAGAAAACAAGCGGCATGACAGTGCACTTTACTGCTGCTCGATTGGCTTCAAAGGATGCTAGTATCGGCTGTGGTCGGACTTGGGGCTGGTTGAAACATACAGCACAGCGCCGAATCGGAAACAACGCCGATGCAGCCCTGACATGCACGTGACTTATCGTTGATGTGGTTCCACGCATAGAGTTATTATAATGTACGCTAGAGGTTCAACTGGCGCTAGTGTCTATGCGACTTCCATGACGCAAAATGAAGCAGACAGCAACCAATCTACTTTAGCGGTGCTCCTGTGCATTCCTATGGGAAAACGCGCGTGCATTTTGTCTGTTCGCCGAAAAATAACACGGAACACTTTGGTTATTTGAGTCGTACCGAATATCATGTACCTTGATTAACACTGTAAAAGTGTAATTGCTTTAGTTAGCGCATTTTTCTTCATCAGTGAACGATATTTAACTTCGCTACATTTCAGCCCCAAACGTGTGTTCCGCAGCAGGTGTGTAAAAACAAGCGACGATTCAAAGCAAAATTATAATCGAAACGAACATCGAGCGTGTTCAAGGCTCGCCAACATTCCGGTGACGCTTGTATATGGATAATATGCCAGTGCAGTACGTCAGTCTATGAAAATGATCCCGTCGTGCATGAGCGGATAAAAACATTCAAAACAAAGAATAAAGTCCGTGGGCTATGAAAGGTGTCTCTTCGTATTGTTTTCTCTGTCGGGCAGCTTTTATCGCGCACTTGTTCTCAAAGATATCTAGCGCGCGGGTGATATTTTGAACGTAGAACAAGCAGCTCCGCTCAGGGCAAAAAGAATAAAGCGGTGCTTACTTATGTAAACTCGGAATAGATTACGTGGCCTTCAATTTAGTTTGATCGTGCATGCACTGAGTGTTACTGATCCAGTGTTAGTTCTTGCCGCCGCTCTTGATTTTCCAGATGTGCTTCGTTCGTTTGGCATGTATATCACCCATGCTGAAATCGCCGACACCGCGCTCGCGCTAACAGTGTCCGACAGTGCACATAAATACACGTACGAAGCCGTTTTAGCACCGTTTTTAATGCGATGAATTCGAAAGAAAAGCGCCGTAACTGACCGATTCTTTCGTCGGCCTGACTGAGAAATGTTCCGAGCTACCTAGTACGTACGAATTATTCGAGATATTTGCTCTTATGATCGAGCGCAGAGAGAAAATGCACTCGCTTTTTCCCATAGAAATGCATTACCGGAAGTCAATTTTCGACTGGTTGCTGTCTGCTTCAATTTGCGTCAGCACACTAGCGCCACTTGAACCTCTAGCGTACATTATAATAACTCTATGGTTCCACAGCGGTGCACGTGCTGCTCTACAGTGGTGAGCGGCGATACAGCGCCGATGCATCGCTGCTAAACCAACAACTCGGCACGGCATCAGAGCCACATCCGCGTCTGTTTCAGCGCCGATTCGGCGCAGCGCTGTATGTGTGCGAACTGGCCTTTGGAGTTAAACAGACTATGAAAATCTCCTTGCACACATTTCTCCTGAGCTTGTTTCGAAGTAATAAAGTGACGAACAGCTTTTGTTTCCTTCCCAGGGCATCATGTTCGGCTACGCGACAGACGAGACCCCGGAGTGCATGCCGCTCACAGTGGTCATCGCGCACAGACTCAACCAGAGACTCGCCGAGCTCAGGAGGAACGGCACATTCTGGTGGGCCAGGCCGGACTCCAAGTCGCAGGTAAAGTTAATATATATATATATATATATATATATATATATATATATATATATATATATATATATATACTTTCTTCTGAATATGACAACCAAAAACTTCAACTTCACAGTTACGTCATAAGCGCCCGTAAAATACTTACTGTTTCCGGTCCAAGTCGTAGGTAAGGTTGAAAATATTGTACTCCTGAATATGGCCACAGAAACAGTGAAACGTCACGGCGACATCATAGGCATTAATGATTGAAAACGAGCGTGTTGGTGAATAGATACGAGTACATAAAATAATAAAACATCGAGGACTGAGACAAAAACAAGACTTCTTTCACGTAAAAGAGTCCTGTTTTTGTTCCCGTCCTCGAAGTTTTATTCTTTCATGTATTTTTGTCATAGGCATCCATAAGAATCTTACGTTTTCCGGACTAAGTCGCACTTAAAGTTAAAAATATTTCTTTCCTGAATATGGCGAGCAGAAACCCTGAAACTCCATAGTGACATCACAGGCATCCGTAAAAATCTTACTGCTTCTGGTCTAAGTCTAAAATTGAAATTAATTGACTCCTGAATACAGCTATCGGACATCTCAACGGTGACATGCATATATGCATCTGTAAGAACCTTACGGTTTTCGTTTAAGTCGCAGGTAAAGTTGAAAATATCAGATTCCTGAATACGGCTACCGGAAACCGTAAAACGTCACGGTGAAGTTACAGATACGCGTAAGAATCTTACGGTTTCCGGTCCCTCGAGTGACTTAGTCATGAAAGCCTCCGTTTAACTTCAGTATAGTCTCGAGTTACGGCTAATGTGCGAGCGGCTTGATTAGTTGTAGTTCCGGTGAACATTTAGAATTAGTCTTGAGTGAATTAGAAGTGTGGAGTGTTCTGAGTTCATTGAATTAGCGTGAATGCTGCAATTTAGGCGTGTCAACGAACAACGTTCGGCGAGCAATTTGGACAAATCTAATTTAGACAAAAAAAAAAAAAAGAAGCATTAATGATCATGAACAAATCTTAACTATTTTTTCTACGCAGTCATGGAACGTATATCAACGAATTTCGCTTTAATCGACTCAGCATGATTTCTGAGGCAACATGAAAATGTAAAAAATAAACCCAAAGGGTCTTCAGTTTGTTAAGTAAAGAGAGTCGAAGAACCAATACCTAATTAGAACATAAAGAAGGAAAAAATATGAAAACTTTTTTTAACCTGCTAAAAAAAATACATAGCAAATAACAGCTAATTAGTGTATTGTACCGGTAGCGAACAGGTTGAAAAACGGTACGTCCCAGCTAGATACCCACCAAGAGTCTCTACATTGACTTTGCTGCTTTACTTTAGTTCTAGCAAGCCCTATTCCGAAAATAAAATGTGTAAATATACGAATGCACTCGATTTTCGAAAGAAGAGTAATTAAAATAGTCATATACATCCCTTTAAAGGTCAACCAACTTATCCAATCGATCACTATTGTAGCAGTACAGCAGCGCGGCTGTCTTTAAGCTCAAACAAATTTATTTTCGTTGTCAACTAAAGAAAAAAGCAAGTTTCACGCATTGCTTATATTCTACACGATGTAGTTCTTACAAAATTAGGTCGTCAAAGAGAGCAAACTGTGCTTTTGCCTTTGAAACATTTACAGCCTCCACATATTTTAACAATATCGTCCGAACGCCAAAAGGCCGGTAGATCAGCGCCTGATCGCGGCGTGAAACAGCAAGTCAGCGAGGATAGGCGTGTGCCTTCTGCTACACGCCCGTAGTCTCGCTGACCTGCTCTTTCACGCCGCGTTAAGGTGCTGATCCATCGGCCGATCGACGTTCGCGCGATATTGTTGAAAAATCTGGAGGCTGTACGGTTTGTGAAATAATAAATTACTGATAATAAATTCACGTACAAGTACTTTACTTCTCCAATAAAGGAGCAAAGTAGTAACGCGCCGCGAGACGTTGAACATTTTTCTACTACGCTTCTTCGAGTGAAAACAAGCATAGTAATCCCAAATGAAGGCCCCTCACCGAAAGAATGCCCACCCAATTTTTTCCACCACTTGTCTCTTCACTGTAGGTGGGCGTTGACTTGGGATTTCAAGCTACTTCAATTTCCGGCTAATAGTTATAAACGTTTCTCGGTAAATAAACAAAATCCCGCCTAGTGTTTTGTTTCTCGTCGTAAACTGACAGAGCTTTGGCCTCGACGCGGTGCAGGTGACGTGCGAGTACGCATTCCGCAACGGCGCCACTGTGCCCAAACGGGTACACACGATCGTGGTGTCCACCCAGCACTCGAACGACATCTCACTCGTGGACGTCCGCAGTCAGATCATGGACAAAGTCATCCGAGACGTGGTGCCGGCCAGGTACCTCGACGAGAACACCATCTTTCACATCAACCCGTGCGGGCCTTTCACCGAGGGAGGGCCCATGGTACGTCGCGCCAGTTTGGGTTCAACCACAAGTGTTTTATTTTGGAAGATCAAGGAACTGCTTGCCTTAAGTAGGCGAGCAGTGTTGGGTATTAGGTGTCTGGCAGACAGCACGTCATAAGCGATGTGTTCATCCGTTGCCTCTGTTTCTCGGTTCCTCGGGATTTTTATGCTGTGGAAACCGTAAAGGCTACGGTCATACTGCTAACACATCGTACAAGAGACGTTTTACAGACACTGGCTGAGCTGTGTTTCTTTCTTGCGTGGTGGTCATGTCACAATGTTCGAAGCATACATGTTCGGAGCATACATATGCATGAAACCAGCATACTCCGTACATGCTTCAGGCGCATCCACAGATAATTATGTCATCACGTCCATAGCGAACACCATGTCTTTTGTATGAGGCAGGGTCAGTATGTCTGTGGCTTAAGGAGGAGTACACACACGTCATTCTGCAAAAAATCCTTTGACCTAATTAGATTACATATTCGATATCTTTATCCGGCAATCTACATACTCCTCTGTTGTTATTTCGCTTATATTTTGCTTTTTTTGTTGTTGTTTTTGTCTCAAGACTATGAGCAAAAAAAAATCTATCTACTCAGGGTCAAACAAATACTATCGTGGTTTTGCCACTGGTTTCGGCTACCGGCTTTCTTGTTCTTTCTTGTTTTTTAAAGAACAATACCGTCAGTGTTAGAATAAATCTAGCTTCCTGCCAACTCTGAAATGTGTATGCATTATATGCAGATAATAACTTTGGAGTAATCATGAGACATCCACCTAAAAATAACGCTAAAGTTGATCTCTCAAACGCGCTAAAATGGAGGACACAAGCCCCGAGAACACCGATATTGAATTTAGATGTTTCTAGCGTGAAATGGCAAAAACAACCGAGTTCCGGAGATCTCACCACGAAAATGGTTAAGAATGAAGAGCCTCCCCTACATACGCTCCGCCATTTGGTTTGCCCCGTGACAGGGTGACGCGGGCTTGACCGGGCGCAAGATCATCGTGGACACGTACGGAGGGTGGGGTGCCCACGGAGGGGGAGCCTTCTCGGGCAAGGACCCGACCAAGGTGGACCGGTCCGCAGCATACGCCGCCCGCTGGGTCGCCAAATCCCTCGTCGTGGCGGAACTCTGCAAGCGCTGCCTCGTCCAGGTAAGCGTCACCCTTCCCGGTTGTGCAGATCTAATAATCTATTGTAGCGGTTCTCAAACATTTGGCCGTCACGAACCCCTTGACAAACTCTGAGGACGTTCGAGGTCCTCCAGTGCATTCTGCACCAGAGGCCTTGTGCATAAGCAAACGTTTTATCTGAGTTTTTTTGTTGTTTCTTTTTCGCGCGGACTTTATTTGTTTCCTAGGACCCCTGCGCATGAGCAGATGCTTTGCCTCACGCGAATCTGGTTTCTGCGCATGTGCAGTGCCCACACCCGGTGGGGGCCAACGCGGGCTTGTTTATAAACAGTGTGTTGATGTATAATATAATTACACGCAACAATTAAGGTGTTGCCGCTAAATCTAGCAGGGAAATCTCATTTTGTCGTTATATTCAGTGAAAGGTGTTTCCTCACTGAATTTATCGTAGAAATTGAAGTGCATAATTATATGCACCAATTTAAGTTTGCCTGCTGCATTTAGTAGGGAAACTGAATTGGTAATGTTTTATCAGTTCAAGTTTTTACAATAAATCTATAAAAAATGTGTTTAATATTTAGCGGGAAGCGGTTCCCCGTTAAATTTTGCTCGGAAATAGAATGAATGATTATGCATCATTTCAAATTTTCCCACTATATTTTGCGGGGAAATTACGTGATTTTACTTTTGTATTATATATTTCAATTACTAGTTTGTTCATTTTAGAAAACTTATATAAAACAAAACATTTCGCTTAAAAAAAAGATCACAGAAAATAGAGCCACGGAATGCACGTCCATCATCTAGTCAGTGCCTTCAGCTTTTACTGTAATTCTGTATGAAATATCGCTTCAATCTGTTCCAGTTGTCGTACGCCATCGGCATCGCGGAGCCGGTGTCCATCTCCATCTTCACGTACGGTACGGCCACCAAATCGCCCAGCGAACTGCACAAGATCGTCAAGGAGAACTTTGACCTTCGACCTGGCAGGATCATACAGTAAGTGAAGCACACCTGCTGGCGGGACTCAGTGGGTCAAGATTCAGACATGTATTGTAGAGATGTAAACTCGAACATGATTCAGATCTCGGCACGCAATACACAAACTACATTTCATGCTCAGGGTGGTGATGCAACCCTATGCAACGATGCAACTCTTTTCCATGGTGCTATTGGAAGCTTTAAAAGTTCCAATAGCACCCTGCGAAAGAAATTAATCAACCTCAGCTATTAATCGGTGCATTACAATTAAATTACGTAAACTAGTTGCTTCTAAGATCCCTAAAGAAATCAATTTTATATTCTTTAGTATGAGTGAAAATTGCCGGAGGTGTCAAATGAACTTTCCAACATCAACTTCGGTTGCTCGTGTACCCGTTTTGGAAAGCTCCCAGCACTCTTGTTTTATTTGCAAGTTACAGCGCAGTGCTAGTGCAGAGTCATTCGAATATTCTACGTAAACCGCGAGGAGCTTCCCTATTTTCTTAACGGAGTTCGCATTTCAATTTCCCGCCCTCTCAGATCTTCTGCTTCACCGTCTGCATGTGCCATATCTTTCAACTTCTTTCGTAAACGCAGATGATTCAGATTTCCGTATCTCATTCCACATGGTCACGAAAGTGCTTCTTTGTATTTTTATGGATCGTGCAGTTTATACACTCACGTTGTGGTATCGTAAAAAACAACTGCTTTAAAGATTTCGAAGGAAAGCCCTAAGAACACAGCTGGGGCAATGGATAAACAATACAGCTGACCTGTACAGTCTCCGGCGATATGAAAGACCCACTGGGAGCGCGTGGCCGAGGCAGTGGCTGGCGGGGGCGCTACGAGCGCTCCGGGCAATTCCATTCTGCTTCGAGGGGAGGACGCTCATTCGGGGCTCAGCACAAACTGATAAGCGCGTGCTTTAGCTGAGCCCCGAGTGAGCGCCCTCCCCTCGAAGCAGAACGGAACTGCCCGGAGCGCTTGCAGCGCCCCCGCCAGCCACCGCCTCGGCCATGCACTCCCAGTGGGTCTTTCATATCGCCGGAGACTGTACAACCTGCTTGAATCGAGTGTGCTCTGGTTACGAAGCATATTATAATCATACGCTTGTGCTTTAAACTGGAATCATGTATACTTGGTACCTTTATTCGGTAATATTTTGCTTCTGCTTCATTACCCTCGAATTCTCAGACGCTTCTTTACACCTTCCGTTTAATTCCGATTCTGCTTCTCTTTCATTTTCTTCGCGAAGTAGAAAAACATACTTCATTCAAGTGATTCTCGTAGCCTCTGAGAATAAAAATGCACGGCAAATTGGTAGGCAATAGTGTTGTATACGTGAAACGTTCTAGCGTCACAAACGTTTAGTGGTACTCTAAATTTTCCGTATGCATTCAAACGTGACTATTAGGGCAAATAGTGTTGTAACACAATTGCCTTGATAGTTGTTCTTAGAATGAGACGATACTACCGCTAATCCAGGTGATAAACCTGGCGATCTTCCGGAGCCTTCTATACACTCTCGAGCTCCTCTTCCTCAGTGAGCACAGGCGGATGAGCTCCTCCTCGCCTACCCCTCTGGTCACGGGAACTCCCCCGCTAAGCAATCAGCATCGAGCTTCGCGGCCACGCTTATCAGGCTACACGAAATGCGGAGCAACTAGCCAAAGAAAGTTTCACGTTCATAATTCCTCACACTGCAACAGCTTGAGGCGCGCACGCCTGTCCCCCTCCTTGGGTGCCAAAGACCCGGGGATGAATGCGGTCAATCTCCACCACGGCACTCAAGTGCACGCAATTTCTTTAGTTACAGCGGAGCACTAAAAGTGGAGCAGAAACCTAATCACCCAGCTGACCTCTCTTTAATTCTCATTCAAGTAAAGAAAACTCAATCGTCACACCCTTTCACTTTTCTTTTTTTCCAGAGACCTGAAGCTGAAGACTCCCATTTACAGAAAGACCAGCGCCTACGGGCACTTCGGACGGTCTGAATTCACCTGGGAACAGCCCAAGAAGATCATCCTTTGAAAGGAGAGACCATTTTGATGCCCTTCTTGCGGGCATTGAAAATCTGTCCGAATAACGGAAGTACGGTGATGAACGTTCTGGTTCTACAGAACTGAGCGCACCTCTTCGGGTCTATGTTGTTTTCGGGTTCAGCACGAGATTTTGGTCTACCAGGTCAGAATTGATCCGTGCACTTCTTTGAGAGAACACTGCCGCAAACTAAAGATGCAATAAACGTGCCCAAGAAAAAGAAACGATTCTGTCACTTTTTCTTCCTAAGTGCAAAGCATATATATACGGCCAGCTTTTAGCTATTTCGTGTCCGCGACTGAGACGCAGTCCAATTCTTGCGTCGGGACTTTTTTATTTTTTTTTTTTTTTTTTTTTATTAGTCACAACGTATGATTGTGTTTTATCAAAGAATATTTGAAAACGTGCCTTGGCCGAGTTATCCTGAGGCAAGAGAGGTAGCGGTAGGAGGACTATGAAAGTTAAAGGGGTCATGAAACGATTTCCCTACTTCTGCCTCCTTAGCTTTAATCCTCAACTCAAATGCGAATTGTGGAATCACGTCGTCGTGACATTCTTCGGCACCGGTGCGATGACTCCTAGCTTCCACCGTGCTTTTTATGCACACCATAGAACTTGTCATTCGCCAGTGACGATAAGTTCTGTCAGGGCGCTCATTGGTCAAGAACGCGAATCCAAATATTCGCCGACGGATTGATTGTTGACGAGCGCATACGTCCGAGTGACACAGTTCTCGCGTCCAATGCGTGAGCTGGGCTCGGCTGACGTCAGGTTGGCTCTGCTGACGCGCTTTGGGGACCGCGGATGTATCATAGTGAAAAGACGGAGAGCTTTCGAAGGAAAGAAGGTACAAAATAGTCCGCTATATTTTCAATTGTTCGTACCGAAAAGCTGGCTTTTGACTTTCTACCCTCTTTCTTTTAGCCAACTACACGATATGCGATTAGTAAAGTCATAATTTAAAATTATTTATCCCAGCCCAAAATTCGCTTCATGGCCCCTTTAAACTCCGAATTTCGGAGAATTTGTGATTTACGAAAAATAAACTGCGATAAACACGAAATTTTTGCTAAAAAAATAAACTCCGAATAACACCCTCCGAATTTCACGAAAAATAAACTCAGAAAACACGGAGCCCTAGTTATAGCTAGGACTGGGCATCAATTCTAATCGAATAATTAATCAATGGACCTATTGCTATACTACCCAAGCATTAAGGAGAATGCAGGGATTGGTGTTCCATGGGCCACACGCGCACACCTTCCCCGTATCAAAACTTCGAAGTAAATAACCTAAATAAAGCATTGACGTGCAAGATGCCATTTGTTTTAGGCTTTTTCTTTAGGACAGTTACTGCTGCAGACGCGTGCACGTGCGGCGCGTGGAACATTCCCTGCATTCTCCTTGATGGTTGGATAATTCAGTAATAGCTCGGGAGTATTCACTAGACGCCATATTTGTGGGTGATGTTTAGAGCGCATGCGTAGAACGAGCTCACATAATAGGCTGCTAAGACCGGCACTCTTGATGGTGCGGAATGCACGTTGCAAAAGAACAGAAACTCGCCGTCAGCACGCGCTCAGCATTCGCGCACACAGCTATGGCCGCCAGTGAATACTCCCTATAGGCTCAGCGGCGTTAAACGGAAAATCGCATGGCGTTGAAGTTGCTGGGGTCACATATAACCTTCTCCGCTTCTTTCGAGTCACACATCTCGCCCTTACAGTTTACTTTAGGTCCCATTTTCACCTAAAGTTTTCCTTCATATAGGTGTACTCGTACACGTCTGTGTAGTGAAAGCGCTAATTTTTTTTACTTTTTGCTTTGTCAAAATTTAGCGAATCAAAACTTTAATCGCGATTAAATCATTTTTTTATTCATCGGTAGGTTATTAGATCAAGTGCCCAGACCTAGTTATAACGCAACATAGGAAAACACAAGCAAACGCCCCTGTGTGAGTGGACATTGCCTCGTTCAGCAGTTTGAAGAGCAATGGCCGGGCTAGAGTGAACAGGCGCGATCTCTTACGGCCTTTGCACCGGGAGTAGTTGCTCCCTGTGGTGGCAGCTTGGAGGGGTCGCTGTAACTTTACAACTCCTACAGCGCCTTCCTTCTGCGAGGCACGTCCTCCTCACCGTGTTGTCTTCTTTGCTCTGGGGGTCGAGTTGGATAAGTTTCTAGAGTAATTAGACCTATACAGGTCGTGAGGCCGGCTGCCTTCAGGGACTTATGCGAAACACATCTTTCTCTTCGTCTTCTTAAGAAACAAGTTTGTATAGACAAGCATTTAATTATTGTAAGCCGAAACTTATTTCAATCGGCTCACTACAGTTATTTCAAGCAAGTATAATTGCACACATTTTTAATAGCAGTGGTCGGCAAACAGTTGTTCAGGATGGCTCAGGCGGTGTTTGGCATAGTTGTGTGGTCGCACCCTACGCAGCTATAGTCCCATTGCTCCTCGGCGAGAGTAAAGGCCACAAGGAAACCGCTCTCTAGCCCGGTCATGGAAGAACATGACAGGGCAGCATTGAGCATCTCGCTTGATTTTATTTCGCAACACTCATTGCGGGGACTTCTAAAACCGAAAGAGAAGCGCGAGGAAACTTCACGAGTTGTGATCCTGGGCCGGCTTGCTAGAACAGCGTCTCCGCTGAGACTGAGCGAAAGAAAGCAGTGCAAAGGGTAGGGCGCGCGACTGTCTTGAGACGCGCAGAGCTCTGGAGACGCGGCTTGAGTCCCGCTCAGCTCGAGCGCTGGCTTTTGCATTGCTTTCTTTCCCACAGTCTCAGCTGATACACTGTTTCTAGCAAGTCGGACCACGGCCGGACTGGAAGCGGGCGCTCTCTTTCTCTTCTTACGGCCTTTACAATCGCCCGGGAGTCAATAGCATTTTTTCCTCCGTGTGTTGTTCACTTGCTTGCCGCCAGGGGCGCAACCACCTCACCCCTCTCGGAGAGTCCCTTCGAGCTGCTATCTGCTATCTGGTGAAACTCATTAGTGAGTTTGGGTGCGCCACCTGTGTTAGCTGTTGACTACGAGTAACAGAGGTGATCCTCTGTTCGTCTTATTGCAAGGCCAGGATGAAAGCGGACTTCATTATCCAAATCCTAGGTTCCTCGCACTTCTAGACAACATTGTTGCTTTTTTTAGCTTTTTTTTTTAAAGGCTGTTAAGCACCTTCCGCGTATAAATCTGCACGATGTTCTGCAACTACTCATTGCACCCTATCTTGAAGACGCGCCTATCCTAAGTTGCCCAGAGGGCATTGACCATAGTCACTCAAAGCGCTTTGCTGGATTAATTTGCAACAAGTTCCTACGAATACTTCTGATTAACCATGCAAAGACGGTCACGGACAGAAGCGAAAAATCAGCTGGATATGTGCACAAGCCCTCGAGGAAGCACTTTAGGCTGTAATATGCACTGTGCGAAAATTGTACAGACTACTACACCCTCGTCTAAAGCAGCTGACCGACTTCATGTGCGGCCTATGAAATAATGCAGAGCACGGCAATAGATAGATTGGGCCTGCTTACATTTCACGAGACTGTACGAATTAATTGTCATTTAAAGTTCCTCCGAGTAGAAGGGGTCCGTCTCCTCCTGTTCTTGTGTTGCAACAGAAGTCCTGGAGGTGAAGACGAATATAGATTTTTTCAGAACTGCATTCGCTATCTCTACTTACTACGTTTCACTCCCGAATCTCTCGGAGATGTGCGTCAAATATTCACTGTTTTGGGCTCATCAGAAGCGTATTAGATAGTGGCTGAGGTTCTGAACGTAAGGATCAGGTGTCAAAGGCTATAGAAATCTCGGCCGCAAGTTGCGACAGCGCTGAGATACACTGTCAGACGTGCTCTGTGCAAACGGCAAAGGGTAGCCCAGGGGTGAGGTGGCAGCGCCCCTCGCGAATTGGGGCGGGAGGTGGTGATTGCCCCTATGGCAAAGGCCGTAAAGAGAGAAGGAGAGCGCGCGCTTCCAGTCCGGCCGTAGTCGGACCTGGCTGCTTATAATTAGTTGCAAAGGACTAGAGTCGTGGTTGGTGTAAAGCACAAAGTGGAAGCTTGGAGTCGTTGCATTATTAAACCAACACCATGAAAGTTGATCGTCTGACATTGTTCTTATTTGAATACATGAAATAAAAATTAATCCAAAGAACGACGACCTAGTGAGGGTTTTCCACATAACGCTTTTGATAGAGCACTTCATGGAAAGGGGGTTTATTAGACCGTTTTCCTGATCCTCAGATTTGAGCCACGATGACTGGCTGTTTGTTGCCTCACCATGAGGACCAGTCACTGCGGTTTGCACATAACACTCTATGTAAATTGTCTACGAGTAGAGTAACGTTAAAACTGAAAATCTCAAATCTCTGCATGAGGGCGAACTAGGGTGCCTTCATGTGCGCTTTGCTTAGGGTAAAGTAGGGTGCCTCAGTGTCCTTCTCTTAAGGGTGATGCCACCCTTTGTAGTACCCGATGCCGACAGCACGCGCTCACGGGCAAAATACAAAGTAATCTACGAAAACAAAAATGTCGCCATAGCACAATCAACGCCACAAACGCGTGCAGGGACAGGCTCTTTCACGCGCTTCTGAACAAAAAATAAGAACAAAAGTGTGGGACAAAATGGCCAGATGTCTCCACCCTAAGCAAAGCGCACATGAAGGCACACTATAGGGTAAAGACATCTCGCCATTTTGTCCCACACTTTTATTTTTATTTTTTGTTTAGAAGCGCGTGAAAGAGCGTGTCCTTGCACGCGTTTGTAACGCTGACTGTGTTTTCGTTGATTTCTTTGTATTTTCCCCGTGAGCGCGAGCTGTCGGCATCGGGTACTACAAAGGGTGGCATCACCCTAAACGGAAGGACATTGAGGCACCCTAGGGCGAACAAAACAGAACCAGTGCAACTAAAAAGCTAAATCCTTAAAAAAAAAAAATGTATGTTAAAATTATGGAGTGAAGGGAAAGAAATTCCCCTTCGTCGTCACCATCATATGGAGTTCAATATTTGCACCTTTCGAGGCGTCGGAACATGGCCGGCAGCATTGAATAGCTTATTTATAGGCATTAGGTGTTTTCGAGAACTTGATCGTGACCCTTGTAACGCGTTTCTCGTTTCTTTTTTTGCAAGATTAACTGATTCATTGCAAGAACGAGGAAGTAGCGCGAGGAAATATTTGAGAAAAGAATCCTCTGAGTTCCTGTATAAGGAGTATT